ACACACACACACACACACACACACACACACACACACACACACACACACACACACACACACATTTTTAATAACCATGTAGACTTCCCTCACATACCAATCAACATTTAGCCACATATGCTCAACCATCCCTTTTCCTTCTCATCTTTCTTCCTGCATCATGAAGGCATGTTTCAGATAAGACCCCATTTAGCTTTGGCATGTGTGTTGAGATGCTCTTGAGCACAACCACAGGCTGGTTATGATCTCCTGAAATACAGTGTGCACTATGGTAATGTGATCCACACTTAGTCCACTGTCAGCCTTGAACTGACGATAGAGTTTAGAGTTTTTCCAGTCCACAATTCTTGTTGATACCCAGTAACCTTTGATATGAATACCTCCCGATGATTGTGTACTTGTGACTTTTCTCCAGCCCCACTATTCCTTCCCTTTCCCTTCTCTCCCCTTCAACCACCTTCCCTTCTGTTCACTTCCTCTCCTTCTCTTCCCTTTTCCTCCCCACCTACCCCCTTTGATCCTCCCCTTCCTCCTCACCCTCTTCATTTCCTGTCTCTAGGATCCATTTTCTGCTGGGTTCCCAAGGGCAGTGTGTTTACTAGCTTGTTCCACCCCACCCCTTTCCACCCCTGCAGTGCACAGACAACTGGTACACCATGAAAATCTGTGCTAAGGAGAGGTGAGAATAAGTTCTTTTTTTTTTTTTTTTTTTTTTGAGTGAAGGTATTAATGAAAATTCTCTGCTCACAGGTGACCAGGTCAGTTCTCTGCCCTCCTATCCGGTGTCCATTATGCAATCCATTTGCTTCCGACATTGTTCAAATTTAATTTCCCCTCTTTCTGATTTCATTTTATTGTTCTGAATATGTTAAATATTAGCATGATTTCAGAAATCAAAGCTCTGCTGAGAGGCACATGCTGAGTGAGGCTCCCTCCTTACTCTTTCTGTTCACCTCTTTTGTAGGCTTGCTAGCAGGGTTTGCTCCTCTCAGGTTCTCTTTCTTTCAGTGCTTCATTAAACAGTCCTTTGCCCCTCTCATCGCGACATATTTAGACCTGATTTTCCCCTTTCTCATATCATTCTCACCAGTATATCAGATGCAGTCATTCTATTTTACCTTCACATAGGATTCATGGATCCACTGCCTGAATATGTGTGTGTGTGTGTGTGTGTGTGTGTGTGTGTGTGTGTGTGTGTGTGTGCCCTCACATGTGCGCCTGCGCATAAGGAGGCTGGAGGTTGACATCAGGTCATCTTCTCAGGAATTCTCCACTGTATTGTGTAGGGGGAAATGCTGACCACACCCGTTTGGGGGCTGGCACAGGTGCCGCTGACCACGCCCACTCGGGCATGGTCAGAGTGATGTAGCAAGGCTTTAAATGTCAGAGATGCACGCCCTCTTTTCCCTCTCCTGCCTGGCTGAGTGAGCGAGCACTGGCTCCTTTGCTTGAGTACTTTCTTAATAAACTATTTGCTGTCAATCTAATTCTGACTCCATTGCGTTCCGCATTAGTATTGTTTTGAGACAGGGTGTCTAAATACTCCTGCCACTCACTAATTTACCCAGGCTGGCTTGTCACCAAGCCCCACCATCCTTCTCCCCAGTGCTTGGATTGCAGGTATGTGCAGCCATGTTAGACATTTTTCTGTGGGTGCTGGGACTCTGAATCAAGCTCTCATGCATACAAGGAAGGTGTTTTAATGACTGAGCATCTTCCCACCCTCCAAAGATTCTTGCACCCTCACTCTACTCTTGTTTTGGCCCTTTCAGTGGATAATGATTGTTGGGATTAGTCTTCTATTTTCTCTTATTTCAAGAGCACGCTGGAATCTCCCCGCCCCATTCATTTTCCCCCTTTACAACAACATCTCTAAGCCACACCCTGCCTTTGCCACCTTCTCCGAGGACACATCCTCCTTTGGAGAAAGCCACATGGATTAGCTGTTTTTCACTCTACCTCTCAACCAACATAGGAACCCTGTTAATACTGTGCCTGATGCCAATCATGTGACCCTGGGGTTTCTCCTTCTGGCTATTGCCTTCTCTCCCAGGCTGTAGCAATACTTCTGTGGGTCCTTGAGGTCATTTTTACTATTATTATTGATCTATTTGTTCTTGAAAATTTCATACACTCAGTTCTCTCTTCTTTCTCTTCCTTTTCCCACCCTTGTTTGGGATTGAACCTAGGGCTTTCCTAAGCATCTGGCAAATTCTCTGCCACTATCTTGATTATACCCACCCTGACTCCATCCATCCAACTCTTCTCTTGTCCCCAGCATAACTCCCTCTCAATTTCAAGTCTCTCTTCTTTTAAATTACCTATTATGTCTAATTATTTTTGCCCATAGTGTATGGGTATGGACTCATCTACTTGGGCATAAGTAACCTATGATCGCCATCCCCACCTACAGACAAGTGACTCTTCCTCTCTTAGGAACCATCAACTGCCATGCTTCTAGGTTTGTTTCACTTTTGGTTTGTTGAACTTGCTTCAGGAACAGCTGATAAAACACTTAGTTCTTTCCCCAGTCCAGGTAGGAGGGCAATTTAGGTTCCAGTTCAGTTCTGTTGCAACTACTTAGGTGATGCTAGGGTTTGCAACCTTTAGCAGGTTATTCTAGTTAACAAATCTTGCTCTTTAACAAAGCTGGGAGAGATACCTTTGTCTATAAAGTACTTGCTGTGTAAGCACAAGGAGTAAAATTCCATCCTGAAAACTAATGTATGAAAGTTGAGCACAGGGGCATGCACCTTTAATCTCAGCACTACAGAGGCAGAGATAGTGTGCATCCTCAGTTAGGGCTTGCTAGGCAGTCAGCCCAGCCTTCGCAGCCAGTTCCAGGCCTGCAAGCCGCCCTGTATCAAAACCAAGGTGGATATTGCATGAAGCATGAAACCTGAGGTTGACCCATGCATAAGCATTTGCACACTCATACAAACATGCAAATGCCTATGCATACACACGATAAAGGACACACATCATTCAACTAAAACAACTTCAACTTCAAAGCTTAAGGTATCAAGAATTACAAGGGTCAGTACTGGAATTCCAGTTCTGTAAGACGGTTGCTGTCCTTTGAGAAAGATTGTTTTGGATGGTATTTGCTGACACTACTAAGTAGACTGGAAAAGAGAATGGAGACAACAGTGGTGACGAGTTTACATTCTTTTCGCTTTACATGTCTTGGGGAAAGCATGCGAGGAAATAAAACAGAAAATGGGAATTTATATGGGATGTCTGCAACTCTCCTCTACCCACTTCACATTGTGATAACACGATGATCGATCCATTCAGATAATTACCATCATTACAGTTTACATTACCTGCCTCACATTTACTGTTCTGACAATTACAGCCCAGCAAATTAAATACAGAGAGGGTGCCGATGAACACAGTCACATTTACGGCCACTGTACTCAGTTACAGAGACATGCTTTAATTGATATAATCCTGCACATCCCAGGAGACATTAGAGATTTTAACAATTATACCTGGGAAGCTAAAATGACCTTGAACTCATGGTGCTCTTTAATCCATTCATATTTATTAGAGATTTGGGATTAACCCACTTCCAACAGGAGAAAACAGAAAACCCACTTAATTAAATGTGATTTAAAGAAACAGTGGGTATTTATATAGACGAGTTGTGAAAGGATAAAGAGAAAAGAAGGGGAAATGTAGGCATCATTACTATGAATTATAGAAATTAGAACAAATCATGTTCCATTTTAAATATGCTATTAAGTCAGGATACCCAGAGGACTCAATTAGAACCTTCAAGTATATGTTGCTGGTGGATCTTTGTGTTCAGCTTTCTCTTTTACAGTGATCAAAAACTTCTGCTAGACTTCATCCCTGACTGAAAGAATTTCCCACTCAGGGTAGAGCGTTTATGGCTGTAAATTATACTGATCTCTGTAAGTTTGAGGTTCCATTTGTAAAAATTCTGTTTTTTAAGTTCATTTCTCTCTCTCTCTG